GCAATATTCAAGATATTAATTTTCTATTGTAGTTACAGTATTACATAAAGCTATATACACAATCAATTAAAAAAAAAAACTAGAATTAGACAAATTAGAAAATAAACATATATCAATTAATTATTGCTCTCTCCTTTTCACTTATGATAAGCTGTATTATGACCCACTTCACCACATTGGCAGCACCTATATGCACTTCTAGAAGTTTTTCTATGGCTTTGTTTCTTTTCTATGCTACTTATATAACAACACTTAGGTGGTCTTCCCTTTCCAATAACACGAGCAAGATTTTAAACATTTTGTAGAACCTTGATGCTAGTTACTTCATTATCAGGAGTTGCATTATCAGTGTAATAATTATCATTACTAATTGCATCACTTTCAGTATAATTTTCTTCTTCAGATATAACTTGATTATCGTCTATAACATTAATATGTGTAGATTCTGAAAGCTCTTGTAAAGATCTACTTTTCTTCATTTTGTTCTGAATGTGGTTCTGATGCATATTTTGTTCATTTTTTTGTTTGTAATATAAGTTTGAAGGATAGTTATAATTTCATTATTGTTAAAATCTACTGCTAATAGTATCACCTCATGAGCCAACCCCCAAATTTTACTATATTGGGCTCTTTTTTGTAAAGCTTTTTTTGTAGTTGGGATCCTAGGAACTGTTAATTGTCTTTAGATTAAAAAAATATCTTTGCTGTAACATTCTTCATCAATAATACCCTCTTCATGAGTGAAAATAATATCTTCATCTTTATACAATTGATTTTCTTAATAGGAATCTTTATACCATCGTAAGGCAACCATTGAAATATAAAAGGCTGTAATTTTAGAATGCATCATTATATGGAAATAATATTGACAGACAAGTCCTTTAGAAATAGTCATAAGACAAGAGCATAGAAATAATATTGGGTTTACAACAACTAGGAAATGTATATAATATTTTTTTTTGCTATGGAGATCAAAAACCTTTCAGATTTCCTTTATATTTTCACTTCCTATTTCATTTATTATAGCCTGAAGAGTAATTTGTCTTGCATCATAATTATCTTCAAGGATCCTACATGAAACTTCTTTATTGACCTCCTGTTCAGAATTAAGTTCTTCAGCTGTCGACTCAATCCTGTTAGCTGTGAGAAATAAATATTGTATTATCTCAACCTTAATCATATTGTTAATGACTTCCGTAAGAAATTGGACAATAATTTTTGTCACAGTTAGAAAAAGATTATGTCCTGTAGCAGGTATGGTAGAAAACGTTGTCAAATCTTTGTACTAGTGAAATCTATTCTATTGAGTTTCCACCTTTAGTCGCTGATCAAGATGACTTGCAAGTTCACATAATATACAATTTGATTTAATTTCTTTTTTAATAACTAAGTTATATGATTCAACTCGTACTGTACTTTCAATTCTAGCTGTGAATATTTTTGACAAGTAGGCACATACCCAGGACTGACTACATGGATATAAAACATACAACAAATAATTCTTCACTATTGGATACTTATTGAGCATATCAATCCAACACTTTTGAAAAAGTGGCTCGCAGAAACTGTTATGATACTGGTAAAAGGTTTTTATAAAGTTATCCCATTTGTTACCTAATTTTGATTTAAGATTTTTAGGTAAATTCTGTTCAATGTAAAAGATACAATGTGCAGCATATGATTTAGAAAAAGCAATACGAATTGCACTATCAAGAGCTGGGTTCGCGTTAGTAAAAATAACCAAGGGTTCTGTTTGTGTAGTTTTTTTTATACAATTAAAAACTCAAGTATAAGTATCAAGTGTCTCATTACTTATTAAAATCTGGCAAATGAGCTGTGTTCTTCTATTATTATCAATAATTATAAATAACCCTAAGGGCATTTGATATTGATTAGTTTTGGCTATATTATCGCTAATAACTACATCATAATACTTTAGCCACAGGTCAATTTGCTCAGGTGACATCCAAAACAACCACGTAAGCCTGTTATCTTTATCCAATTTGAATTCCACAGACCATCTAGGATTATCTATTTTGTTGGTTAATAAAGAATTGAGCAGGTTTGACACATCATTTGTTTTATTTTTTTTTCTTTCTTTTGAAATTCTGGATAGTATTATTAAGGTCATTATTATGAAAATACAAATCAGGAAAA